GGGTGGTGGGTTTAAAAAAAAGTAATTAGCCATTTTAGATGCACAAGAGCATAACCGATCATCCTGTATAGGTTTCATGTATAAGACCTTAAAAAAAAAAAATCGAGTCACTATTACGTCACTATATAGAAAAAGCCTGAAAAGTACTTTTAAGAGGAATTTGAGTTGTTTTGCTGTCTTGAATGTGGTTTTCAACAAAAATATGCCAGGAAAGGAATTTCATAACAATAATCTCCAATTTCGATCCAAACATACGTTATTACTAGAGAAAAAGCCTAAAAAGTACTTTCAAGAGGAATTTGAGTTGTTTTGCTGTCTTGAATGCCGCAATGCGGCTTTCAATCAAAAATGCGCCAGGATAGGAATTTCATGACAATAATCTCCAATTTCGATCCAAACATACGTTATTACTATATAAAAAGCCTAAAAAGTACTTTTAAGAGGAATTTGAGTTGTTTTGCTGTCTTGAATGCCGCAATGCGGCTTTCAGTCAAAAATGTGCCAGGAAAGAAATTTCATGACAATAATCTCCAATTTCGATCCAATTATACGTTATTACTAAATATATAAAAAGCCTAAAAAGTACTTTTAAGAGGAATTTGAGTTGTTTTGCTGTCTTGAATGCGGTTTTCAACAATATTACGCCAGGAAAGGAATTTCATGACAATAATCTCCAATTTCGATCCAAAAATACGTTATTACTAGAGAAAAAGCCTAAAAAGACACAGGAGGAATTTTAGTTATTTTGCTGTCTTGAATGCGGTTTTCATTCAAAAATACGCCAGGAAAGGAATTTTATGACAATAATCTCCAATCTGGATCCAAACATACGTTATTACTAGAGAAAAAGCCTAAGAAGTACTTTAAAGAGGAATTTGAGTTGTTTTGCTGTCTTGAATGCGGTTTTCAATCAAAATACGCCAGGAAAGGAATTTTATGACAATAATTTCCAATTTCGATCCAAACATACGATATTACTAGAGAAAAGGCCTGAAAAGTACTTTTAAGAGGAATTTGAGTTGTTTTGCTGTCTTGAATGCGGTTTTCAACAAAAATACGCCAGGAAAGGAATTTCATGACAATAATCTCCAATTTCGATCCAAACATGCGTTATTACTATAGAGAAAGCCTAAAAAGTACTTTTAAGAGGAATTTGAGTTGTTTTGCTGTCCTGAATGCGGTTTTCAATCAAAATACGCCAGGAAAGTTATTTTATGACAACAATCTCCAATTGCGATCCAAACATACGTTTTAATACTAGAGAAAAAGCCTAAAAAGTACTTTTAGGAGGAATTTGAGTTGTTTTGCTGTCTTGAATGCGGTTTTCAACAAAAATACGCCAGGTAAGGAATTTAATGACAATAATCTTCAATTTCGATCCAAACATACGTTATTACTGGAGAAAAAGCCTATAAAGTACTTTTAAGAGGAATTTGAGTTGTTTTGCTGTCTTGAATGCGGTTTTCAATCAAAATACGCCAGGACTAGAAACACATCAGACATTCTAACAGGTTTGCTAGAAATTAAGGCAGCTCACAGTCTAGGAAAATAGTCGAAAAATACATGCATTGCAAAAAAAAAATCCTACTCAAATGAACTTTTCAGGGATGATAGGGGGCGGGTGGGTGATCATAAAACCGAAAATATCAAACATTCACCCCTCTGGCGTTTTGCGCTATAGGGTTTGAAAGTGCGCCATTGGCGATTACTTGGTACCTATTGATTTTACAAAAAAATGTTTCAAATAAAAGATGTGCAACATTATTTGATCTAGGTACAATGTTTATCTGAAGACTTTTTTGAATAAGGGCCGTCTGTGGTCATAAGGGCCGTTAGAAATTTTATAATGAAAATGAAAAATTTTAGCGTGAAAAAATTTTCTACAACACGTACAACATTTTTGCTTCATGAAGTTTTTACTCACCCCCTGCCGTTTTTCAATAGGGGTAGTTTCAAGTTTTTTTATTTATTTACAAAAAAAATTTCTCAATAGAAGTTTTATAAAGTCACATTTCCTACAATTTTTCCCAGTCAACTTTTTTTGTAACTCACCCCCATTCAGCGGGGGGACACTTCCCTAAGAGAAATTTTAGTTTTAGGGGTATATATTAGTTTTTTTTCTTTTTTCTCGCCTTTAGTGCATATAAAAAGTTGCAATTAACATTGTATTGGAAGGATTTTTTTTTGCCACCACCTTTTTGTTTTTAGGGGTAGTTTGCCTATGTTCAACTTGTTCATTTTATTATTTTGAAGAACTTTTCTCTATAATTATTTTTTTGTTAAGTTGAAAATATGCGAACTACCCCTAAAAACAAAAAGGTGGTGGAAAAAAAATCCTTTTAATACAATGTTAATTGCAACTTTTTATATGCACTGGAGGCGAGAAAAGAAAAAAAAAATTAATATAAACCCCTAAAAACTAAAATTTCCTGCCTGAAGGAAGTGTCCCCCCGCCGAATGGGGGTGAGTTACAAAGAAATTGATTGGGAAAAATTGTAGGAAATGTAATCTTATAAAACTTTTATCAGGAAATGTTTTTTGTAAAAAAATGAAAAAACTTTAAACTACCCCTATTGAAAAACGGCAGGGGGTGAGTAAGAACTTCATAGAGCAAAAATGTTGTATGTGTTATAATTTGAATGGCTGATTTGGTAATTATTTTTTTATTTATTTGCGTATATTGTTCAGGTAGGTACTTTTGACCCAGGTTTTCCGTTATTTAAAGTAATAACTTGATCAAAAAGCGCAATAAAATAAGTCCAATCATATTTACGCCCGGTTTATCTTACCTGACAGTTCAGAACGTGAATAAACCGGCACTAATCTTATAATTTAGGCTTTAAGCTTTAATTTTTTTTAACTTTAATCACTGAATCCTTTTTACAGTGACAATGTGTTTTTTCTGACATCCAATAAATTTTAATTTTTGGGAGTTGCTAAGTATTTGTTCAGAATGTTTTATCATTTTCAGGTCCCAGTTTGAACTTAAATAAAGTACTTTAAAAATTAAGTTAAGACCTACAGTTTATCGTAGTTATTTATCTCTCAGAGCACTTCAAAACGACGGTTGTTACACCTCGTGGTGCAGCAACCTACCGATTGAGGAGTTTGTTCCTAGGTCCCTAATTCACCCTACGGTATACCCGATACCATCCGGCGTGAATTTGGGAGGAAGAAGATACATTTTGTACTCTTCCTCACCAAAAAATAAATAAAATTCGGTCTGACTGGGATTTGACTCTTGAGCCCATTCTGTTCGACGATGTTATCCTACTGTGGCAAACACCTTGACCTTAAGCGTTGAGCCACCGTCATGTTGGCAACATCATTAAGACTTTAATTAAGCAAGTAATTCTTCACTCTCCAAAAAAATAGTGGCTTTCAAATGGCAGGGTCAAGATCAAGTAAATATAAGGACGATATCAGGTGGAAATTGGTATCAGAAAGCCCAGAAGAGAAAACAGCGAAAAGAACTAGGACAGGCCTTTGTCCAGGGAGTGGATGAATAATGGATGAGAAGGAAAGTTCTAGCCAAGTCAATTATTAAGTGATAGTCAGGCTATGGGAATAAGCCTGTAGTAATGTTATCCTTTAGTCCTTTTGACAGTACCAATCCAGACGTGAGCAGTCTGGACATTGAAATGGTGAGTTTGTCAACACAAATACAAACTACTTATCACTTGAGCAAATTAGTTAAATTACATTAAGGTTTAAAGTCAACCCCTTATAGTTTCTGAACCTTGTGTTCAAAAATTCCAAAAAAAATATATGTTTTATGGTTATCGATATACTTTAATCCATAATTTTTTTAAGCAAATCTGACTCGCCATTTTTGAGTTATATCGCAAAAATTGAAAAAAAAGTAGTTTTTCACCATTTATTTCGAAACGAATAGATGAAGTTTCCCATTATTTTTATTACAAACTACTATTGCAATTCTACGCGACATATATTTTTTTCAAATTTTTTGAACTTGTAGTTTTCTCGCTACTGCAAAAATATTTGGAAATACGCCTGTAGCTACACTGTTTAGAAAAAAATCCGACGGATGAATGTTCAAAATTATTTGCGTTGGTCGAAACTACAACCCTGTTTATGTAAAACAGAATAATACTTCGAATCTCCGCCAAAAAAAGAAAAAACGTTCCATCACACAATTTAACCAAATGAAGATTTCTATTTTTTTTGACAGTCAAGTTAGGGCACACTATAGGGGCGACAGCATTGACATCTCGCGTTGCTGTAATAAACTATAGGCCTGACTTTAAACCTTAAACATATAATCTCACAGTCATCTGACGCCACTCAACGAACGAAAAAGCGAGCAAGACCATATATTATATTAATAGTTTTAATGTCCAAATGGTATATTATTCGAGAAATAATGACATATTGTCAAAGTCAGTTAAATACGAAATAATTCCCTAGGGCGTTATTTTGAAAAATAACGCCCTAGGGCGTTATGACTATTTTTTCAAATAGAAAATAATTCCCTAGGGCGTTATGACTATTTTTTGCAGGTACTTGATTTGTTTTAGATTAATTTATTCAAAATTCATTCAAAATTTTCACACATAAAAAATAATTACGCCGGACATTAAACGTTGAAGGCACCACGGGTATTAAGGATATTAACGCTTTCGGTCAACGTATATCCCTCGGGCCAGAGGCCCTCGGGAAATACACCATTGACCTCAAGCAATAATATCCTTATAATACCCTTGATACCTTAATAACTATAAATTTAAAAATGCTACAATCCTTATCACTCATTTGTTTATTAAATGGTATAGGTTCGCCTTATTTATTTAAATTGAATCTCATTTTTTATTCATTGAATATTGCAAATCACTTGCACTCATGAGTTTTTTGAATTTTATTATGCCATTTTAGCTCTCGAATTGAACTGTTGATTTTGATTATTATTTTGATTAGCCCAAAACACACGTCACCCGAAGTATTACATCAAAAATAAAAACCACCGTAACGGCATTCAAAAATACTTTTCCTTTTTTAACATTTTATTCATTTCTAAAGAAACACTTTTTATGATAAAATATGGTTCTACGTTGCGGAACCGTAACTTGCAACAGCTTCATTAATGGCAGTCAAAAGCGGGAAAGTACCATTACCGCAAGAATTGTTAAAATCGTCAAAGTCCAAATCCCAGATCATTACTCCTGCAAATCCGCTTGATAAAGCGTAAATAGTTTTGAGCTTAAGAGATCTGGCATTATCGTAGCTGAACCAATCGTTGTTCAAATAAGCATGTGGCGCTTGTTGTTCTTCGTCCCAAACATGTGTGTAATCTCCGTAATAATTACAAATCTAGGAAAAATTTAATTTAAATTAATATACGATGGTAATTATATAGAATAAGTACCTCTTGGTAAGATATAAATCCGGCAGTCCTTGTCAATGGACCAGCAGGTCCAGTACCATTGGATGCAGCATATAAACCATTGTCATTTAGATCCACTAGTTCAAAACTTCTGCCATAAAACGCCAAGCCAAGAATTAATTTGGAAGCATTGGCGCCTAAGCTCAGCCATTGCTGGATACCCCCATACTATCAAAATACAAAAATGTGATTTTCTTATACCTAATAGGAACGTTTCATAACTAAGAACCTACCACACTGAGGATCCGAGTTTCTTCAGTTATATCCAAGGAAGAATAATTCAATGGCGAATGGTGAGCTGTGTAGTTGGTAGATGGAGCTATTCTAAAGTCGTACATCATACAGAAGACATAGTCAACGACTCTAAAATTGAACCATACAGAACCTTAATCGAATAAAGTAATAATTTATGTCTTACTTCGTTAGTGCAGGTACATTGTAAGATAATTCAACTTGCTCTCCAGCGCCAGCAACAGCTACAGTTAATAAATAACCAGTATTTGCTGCTTTTAAAGCAGCGTTAAGTTCTTGGAGCAGAATGATATAATTTTCCTATAAAAGACAAAAAAGAAAGGGAAATTTAACAAGGAGAACTGATAAATTCAGCCTGATGCTTATCAGGTCGTTTTGCTATTGAAATCAAATACAATCCATGCTTTTTCAAGTTCCACTTTCAAAAATAGTGAAATTTCTTGAAAATCAAAGCTTTATACAGTATCCTCCATAATGTTCGCTACATAATGGGGATTTTATTCTGTCACAATAAGCTAAACGTCCGCCAGGCTGTCAAGAATCGATCGCGGAAATACTAGAATCTAGCGAATTATTCTACTTTAATCTGGAAAATTAGATTATCGTGTGTATTCTAGATTTCACAGGAATAGATTTAGGGATATATAAGAAGGCCGACATTGGTTTGTAAGTAAGTTTCAGTTCGAGTGTGATACGATTTAAATAGTGATTGTAAAGAGTTTAATTGTTGAGTTTGTTAATAAAGTAATTAGTGTCAGAGTGTTTTGTTAAGTGGAATAAATTATTGCTGTGTTAATTGGACTTTGATTTTTGGAATAAACGAAACGAACAACGAACCCAAGATTTTTGTCAGCAGGCAACCCAAAGCTGCGACATTGGTGTCAAGAAGTGGGATATAAAGGACTGCAGAGTGAAATCCAATTGCGGAAGTGTGGGGACACTAGTGTAGTGTAAAAACTGAACACTAATGGTGCGATTCTGTATGCGATGTAACGTACTGTAAAGGATGCAACTTTGAGAGCTGTAAGGATGTAAAGAAAAAGGAATTCTGTAACTTACATTGCGCTGTAAAATAATCTTACACCTACTGTAAATTTACGTCGCGGGAAATGGAGACATACTGTTACATTTTTGACGATATGAAACAAAAAAGTTTTTTGTGTTGCACAAAATCGCAAAAAGAAATGTTTCGAGTGAGTTAAATATGGAATTAATACAGATTAGGCATTTCATCATAATCATCATCATCATCATCATAGGCAATCACGAGTATGATTATCTTCTATTCTATTCTTCGCCGATTGTGTGTTTCCTGATGATGGTTATATAAACCAATTCTGGAGCCGCACACTTTTCCATATTCTTGGAACACCCAAGGCCTCTACAAAAACGCTGATCCGATTACAATGGATTAACGCGATCAAATTTGATTGATAGTTTCTTCTTTAGCAAAAGTATTACAAAAGTTATGACTCGTTGCAAAATTAAAATGTCCTTACAAAATAAAGCAAGCCCCCTTGATATAAATAATTACACTTGGTATCAGTACACAGTGCATTGCACCATTCAGCCTATACAGACTCCGTGTCATACAGAATTCTATATATTATCGACAGGATTCTATAGGCTCAGCATATTCAATATGTCGAATTCTACATGGCACGGAGTCCCTGCCCAGGGGCCTTATTCTGTAAGAACGAACCGTTCGATTCGATAGAATTTCTTCGATTGTGACGTCATTTTTGGTTTGGTTTTCGCGCTACCAGACCGAAAATGACGTCACAATCGAAGAAATTTTACCGAATCGAACAGTTCGTTCCTTACAGAATAAGGCCCCTGGCCTTCACGCCAAACGCTAACAGCGAACAGCCGGGAATTGGGGAATCATCGAGGAATCCCTGATATTTGCTGCAAAAATGACACTCATCCAACTGAAAATTCGCTATTTTTAGAAAACCCAAAAAACCCAATAATGGTGGGCTTTATCAACTGAAAAAACCCGAAAAACCCCACTGGGTTTTATAAACTGGGGAAATTCTATGCCAACCCTATGGATCAATCGGTTCAGCGTTTCCGTAAAGGCCTTTTGTATTTGATTCATACCAGGAGGGCTATAGACGGTAAAGATAATATCACACCTTCCTTCCAAAATATTTCAACTTCAAAAATAGTCAAATTACAAGCATATTAGCAAATATTAGGTTACGTTTATTACTATAAAGTAAGGAGCGCTATAAAGAAAGCGCTGTAACTATGTACTTTACACCAGGCGTTACAGAATGGGAGCTTTGGCGTTCAATGTAAGTTTCAATTATACATCGCGATGTAAACTTACGCGCTTTGACATCTACAGTGATGTAAGGCGATTTACAGAATAGGCACATTAGTGAACACTGGGACAGTTAGTGCAGTGCAAACAGTGACAATCACAAAAAGAGACTCAGCCGATCGTGTGAATTATTCCGGAAGTGACTCTATACCCGATTTAGACTGTGATAGTGAATCTTCGAGTGAGTTCTAGAAAATTCTATTTGGAAACTAAGGGAGATACCGAATTTGTGACTTCGCCGACGTATTCGGAACATCAATCATCATTCAGAAGAAGTTTTTCGAGGAGTTTCGGGAAAATTCTAGAACATTCTATTTGGAAACCAAGGGAGATATCGAAATTGTGTTTGCTGTATCAATCGACATCTAGAAAAGAAGTTTCAAGAAAATTCCAGAACATTCTATTCTAGAATAAGGCAAGTTATCCAATTTGTGACTTCACCGGCGTGTTTGGAACTTCGAGCAAAGACCAGAAAAGATATTTGAAGAAAGTTCGAGGGAAATTCTAGAAGATTCTGTATATGCCTATCACAAGACAACAAGCCAAAATGGACGAACAAAAAGTTGAAGAACTCCTGCGCAAAATGTTGGAACTTCAAGAGACCAAACGACAACAAGAAAAACAAGACGAAGAGACGACAACAAGACGAAGAAGCCAGACGACAACAAGAAAAACAAGACGAAGAAGCCAGACGACAACAAGAAAAACAAGACGAAGAAGCCAGACGACAACAAGAAAAACAAGACGAAGAAGCCAGACGAAAACATGAAAAACAAGACGAAGAAGCCAGACGAAAACAAGAAAAACAAGACGAAGAAGCCAGACGACAACAAGACGAAGAAGCCAGACGACAACAAGAAAAACAAGACAGAGAAGCCAGACGACAACAAGAAAAACAAGACGAAGAAGCCAGACGACAACAAGAAAAACAAGACGAAGAAGCCAGACGAAAACAAGAAAAACAAGACGAAGAAGCCAGACGACAACAAGAAAAACAAGACGAAGAAGCCAGACGAAAACAAGAAAAACAAGACGAAGAAGCCAGACGACAACAAGAAAAACAAGACGAAGAAGCTAGACGACAACAAGAAGAGGCCAGACGACAAAAAGAAAAACAAGAAGAAGAAGCTAGGAGACAACAAGAACGGCAAGAAGACCTTGGAAAACTACAGAAGATATTCCAAACCATACAAGGAACTGTCGCTAACCTAGACCAGAAGATTGAAAAAGTTAAAGACGATGTGCAAGAAGTTAAACACGACGTCCAGGAAGTAAAAACTGAAGTCAAAATCGATGTTCAAGAAGTTAAAAACGACGTTCAGGGAGTAAAACCTGAGGTAAAAGCCGATGTTCAGCAATTAAGACAAGAAGTTGAGGACCAAGTTCAAGCACTCGAAGATAAGATGCGTAGATTAGAAATACAGTCCATCAATCCAGCTAGTGTTGGAGCATTCCCCAGTATGAAGATAAAACCACCAACTTTTGACGGTTCTACGTCCTGGACCATGTATATTCGACAATTAGAAGCTGCTGCAAATACCAACGGATGGAACGATCAAGAAAAAGCTACAGCACTGATAGTGGCGCTACGAGGACCAGCCTTAGACCTTCTTCAGTCCATTCCTTCAGTCTACCAACAGAATTACCAGCATCTAAGTCAGACGTTGGAATTGCGCTTCGGAGATCATTACAGGCAAGAAGTATTTAGAACTCAAGTCAAATCAAGAATTCAAAAACCCGGCGAGAGTTTACAAGAATTCGAATCAGAAGTTAAAAGGCTAGTGAGTTTGGCGTTTCCTGCAGCTGGGGAAGACATGCAGGAATGGATGGCAGTATCTGCATTTATTGATGGTCTCAGAGATTCGAAGATCCAGGAAAACCTGAGAATGTCCAAGTTCAGACAGAGTAGCGAAGCTCTTGACCGAGCATTAGAACTAGAAGCAATCCTTGGTGCCTCGCGACCCAGAATACGAGCAGTGTCCATTGAGGACCCAAAAGATAAACAGATGTCAAAAGAGGATGGTAGCTTCGAAACTAAAATGAGTAATTTCATGGAGAGAATGGAGAAACTGTTACTAGAAGATAGAAAAATGGGAAACGATTCCAGACAAACACCAACCCCGAGAAACCGAATAGAGTGCTACCGGTGCCATAAACTTGGGCATATTCAACGAGATTGTAGAGTGAGGATGTCCTCTCCATCAAGGGATCGTTTCCAACGCTTTTCGAGATCGAGAGACGCCAGCCCTAATAAAAGACAGGGAAACGAGAACTAACCAGTATGGAGGGGCGAATGCTGGTTAGTAATGACGAAGCCCCCAGGATTGTTTACATAAAATCATTGGGCAGTCATTATAGAGGTTTAACATTCGAAGGACAAATTAATGGAGAATTGAAAACTATCACTTTTGATATGGGTGCTGAAGTTTCCATAATTAAAAGAACATTAGTCAAGTCTCGGGCAATCCAACCGCTCACTAGAAACCTGTCCCTACGAACAGTCACCGGCGAATCTGCACCAGTTCAAGGAGAAGCTATGGTTGAGCTCACTTTTGGATCTACCACCTTCAGGCACAAAACATTAGTCGCCGATATAGAAGATGATTTTATTTTGGGAATGGATTTGATCGGCCAACATGGTTTCTCTTTTGATCCTTCCATGAACATCCTTAAATTTGGTAATGAAGAAATTGTCCTAACAACACAAGAAGAATCCGATGCCGTTAAGATCCTGGCCACAACCCCAGTGAGGATTCCTGGAAGTACTGAGAAGATCATTTGCGGAAAATTAGAAACAAACCCTGGGTGCTGCGTTGGGCTAACACGTAATTTCATTGGAGATAAACCAGAAAGATTTCTTGTTGGAAAGACCATAGTAAGAACAAATGGAGACATTATGATAAGAATTGCCAATGTTTCTTCCGAAACAGTAAGAATAAAAGAAGGAGACATTATTGGAGCTCTCGAACCA